TGTGCATTGTGCATGTCACTTGGCCCAACCAAGGAGATGATCATGAACTGTTCACCCAGTCAAAGGCATCATCATGTTTTATGGAAATATATATATATTACCTTGGCTAAGTCTGTTAGCTTTTCATTAAAATATTCTCTATTTATTCTCAGATTTTTTGTCCAGCTTATACTCTACCTGAGACCCTTGCACTTATAGCCTCTAGGGAGGTAATTCTTGCCTCATTGCTTACTCTCGCCTCAACACTACCTCTGCCTTTCTGCTCATTTTCTCTCCTTATCTCTTTTCCCACTGTTATGTGACTTATCCTGGGAAATGTGAACAAACATCTATCCATCCCATTACAGCACTGAGGGCAGACTATAGTAGATAGATAGATAGATAGATAGATAGATAGATAGATAGAAAGATAGACAGAGATTCTCACTCAAGACCAGCTTGATGACTTTTGGAAGCATCAGTGACTTGAAGGCAACTGCATCATCATCAGAAGCCCTCCCCAGTGTGGCTGACAGCCCAGGAAAACTGCATCCTTGGAGCAACTTCAGGCACACCCCCCCCCATACCTATTCACTGCTTACATAACTTTCGGGAGCAGCCTTGTGAATCTTGGAATTTTTTGAGTTTCTCAAGCTCTGTATGTTTCCTTAGCCTCTTGAGTCTTATGAACCTCCCTCATGTTCTGGGAGGCTATGTTTCAATATCTATGTAACACTTTCTTTCTTTTCTTTCGTAGTACCGTTGCTTTCTGGTATTCTGTATTTTAACTCAATTATTGTTTATTGTTTGCAATCTTCAGGATAGACACTACCCCATAATCCCTACTTTATCTTTCATATATAAAAGACTGGCTGCTACTCAAATATTTGTTGAATGAATGCAGTTGAGATTCTAGCTTTAACCTTCTGGCCAGTTTGGTGCACATAGCAAGTCTCTCTTTGATGGACCATGCCTGGGTGCATCTGTATTTTCTGTACTGCAGCCAGAATCCTGCTGGCTCCACCAAGGTGTTGCTTTCTGGTGTCAACACAGCTGGATATAGTCAGCAGTTTTGTTTCTGTTCCATAAAATGTGAAAGTTAGGACCTCACTGATGCCTTTTGGACTTTCCACTGTCTCAGAGTCAGAATTGCGGAAGTGATCAGCAAGATTGTGGTTGCTTTGCAATATTATTTCAAGTACCATGTGGTAATGTGCTGTTGCTGTTCTTCACTGTTTCTACAACTGAAAACAATGCCTTACGAAAATTCACATGATCCATTATCCTTCTTGAAAAAATTTAAAAGGCCAGTGGTTGGCAATTGAAAACAATAATAGTAACAAAGATTTACTGAATGCTTCCTTTGGGCCAGCCACTCCTCCAGACACTTTAAAATATATTATCTCATTTATTTGTCATAACAACTCGATGAAAGAAAATATTGATATTGGGGATAATTTACAGATGAGGGACCAGAAGTCATAGAGGAAATATGTCTCGATCCCTAGAGTGGGCGAATGGCAGTTTGTTCGTGGTCTATGCACTTCAATTCTGTGTTCCAGGTCCTGCCTGTTAAATGCAACAGCGATGGGAGAAGGGAAGCTAGCTTTGAAAAGCAAGTCAGGTAATCCCATGACTTGGAGGGACCATACCAACTGAAACACTGTCTTCTCAGTGAGCCCTGTTACTGCTTCCCTGCTTGACTCGAGAGTCAGGTGAAAGACCTACCCTTTCCCTCTTCAGAGCAAAGAAGCAAGATGCTTGAAACTCCCTTCCCAAGTTCTTTCTCCTTCTTGGCTCCAGGAGACCTTGCTCGTTAATTGAGTTCTGAGAGGCTGGTGACAGTGAGGGCCCTACCTAAAACCCGACGGACCCTAGTCCCATGCCAACAAGCAATTTACTTTGGCTTAGGTGATGAACTCTTTCCATCAAAGCCCTTGCCACAGTTACTTTTGATTGTTTAATGTCTAGTAACTGTAACCTCTGTGTGGCAGATATACTATCTTATTCATGCCTTATTCATCATATCCTTCATGCCTATCGTGGTGTTAGTATGTAGAAAGAGTTCAACAAATTCTTTTGAACGATTCAAAGGGGTATTTCTGTAGAATATCTGCAGTCATACCTACGTTACACATTTTCTATAGCTCAACTAGTCCATCCTTTAGAAATAGTGAAGATGTTTTTCTTTAAGCTTCCTTAATAGCTATTGGGTTTTCATGTTGTAGCCTCATGGCCAATGTCTTTGGATTTCAATTTCCTGTGCTATAGAATGAAAATACTTAATGGACTTGTGCAAGATCAGACTATGAATTTGAGAATTAAATTTAGAACTTGCAGGTATAAATTATCTTTTTAAAAAAAGATTTTAAGCTGGGCATTGGTGGCCCACGCCTTTAATCCCAGCACTCGGGAGGCAGAGGCAGGCAGATCTCTGTGAGTTCGAGGCCAGCCTGGTCTCCAGAGAGAGTGCCAGGATAGGCTCCAAAGCTACACAACACAGAGAAATCCTGTCTCGAAAAACCAAAAAAAAAAATTAAAAATAATTTTTATGACCAGGCATTGGTGGTACACTCCTTTAATCCCAGTACTTGGGAGGCAGAGGCAGGCGGATCTCTTAACTTCAAGGCAAGACTGGTCTAAGAGCTAGTTCCAGGACAGCCAGTGCTACACAGAGAAACCCTGTCTGAAAAGCAAACAAAAAACAACACAGTAATTTATGCATATGGTTATTTTTCCTGCATGTGTGTGTATGCACTGTATGCATGCCTGGTGCCTGTGGAGGCCAAAAGAGGGCACAGGGTTTCTTAGAACTAGAATTATAGAAGGTTGTGAGTCAACATGTGAATGCTGGGAATGGAACCAGGTTCCTCTGCAAGGGCAGCAAGCACTCAACCTTTGATCTTTTTAAAAAATGTATTGCTTCACTCTTTCCATCTTTTCCCACCCTTGTCTACTGCTTCACAGCTAGCACACAAATTACTAAGTGACATGTCTTTCATAATATTTATATGCACGCCTTTAAAAAAATATGTTTTCTCTCCCCTTATTTCTTTTTCTCCTTTTACTCAGGTTCCTCTCACTTTTGCTTTCAGCTTCCTTCCCAAGCACTAGTGGGGTTTATAAAGACATTTCTGAGACCAGCACAACCTCATGAATGGCTTAAAGGCCTTATTGAGATTGGATGATGATTATGATGATGATGATATATTATTATTATTATTATTATTATTATTATTATTATTATTATTATTATTATTATTATTATTATTATTATTATTATTATTATTATTATTATTATTATTATTATTATTATTATTATTATTATTATTATTATTATAGTTTTTTCGAGACAGGGTTTCTCTGTGTAGCTTTGGATCCTATCCTGGCACTCACTCTGGAGACCAGGCTGGCCTCGAACTCACAGAGATCCGCCTGCCTCTGCCTCCCAAGTGCTGGGATTAAAGGTGTGTGCCACCAATGCCCGGTGAGATTGGATTATTTCTATTATGACATTTATGCTCTTGTCATATTTATATCAGTAATAGATGTGAGAAGAACCTCAGTGGCTGGACTCAGGATGTAAACTATTTGGGCTCCTGATCAAACAAAGTGACTGAGCATATGCTGTTGCTCTTCTTTTTCCCTACCTTCCACAGCAAGGGAGTAAGAGACCTTGCCGTGAGACAGAACAATGGTTTCCCCAAAGATACTGCTATATAAACACAAGGCTTCAAAGACCTCAGAGTGTCCATGAAAATACCAAAGAAAGAAGTAGGAAAGCTCCAGGGGAGTTTGAATATCTTTAATCACTTATGCAGTCTTCAAGGCAGCTGGGAGCCAAAGATCCTTGTGACCTCCTACAAGCAGCAGCAACAATATACAAATGCAGACCCCAGAGAACAGGGTTCCCGTGCTCCAGGGTGTAGCTGACTGTTAATGGATATTTGCTGTCTACTGGGCCTTATTTCTCTTCTTGCTCTGCCTTCTTCAAAGGAGAGAGATAGCTAGTCACCCTCCTCCCACACCAGCTTCCTCGTCCACTCTGCAGACACTGTCCAAGGACGAGGTCACTGTGACTGCCTCAGACACTGACACTGACTGTTCCTCACAAAAGACCATGTCCTAATTGTGAAAACTTCTAAATATTTCTATCGTCTGGCAGAAAGGATTTTTTGTAGGTATGATTAAGTAAGGAATTTGAGATGGGGAGAGTCTCCTGGGATGTGTGGATTGGTGATCATGCTGATACTTGGAAAGAAAAAGAGGGGCATTAGTCAGAAAGGAGAAACCAGAATTTGCTCTCCTGCTGGCATTGAAGATGGAGGATGAGGCCATGAACTAAGGAATGCAGACAGCTTCCAAGGGATAGAAAAGACAAAAGGAACAGTGTCTGGTAGTATTTCCAGAAGTATTTCCAGACCTGCCTCTTGGTTCTTGCATGAGATAGATCTTGAACTCCATCTCTCTAAGACTATAAATAATAAACATATTTCGTTTTAAGCCATCAAGTTTGTGTTAATTAGTTACAGTGTCCATTAGAAAATAATGCAGCCCCACCCCCACCAACATGGGGGCAGGAAAGAAAATAATAGCAGCTGAGATACTTTCTCACAGATAGGAAGTGGATGGAGGAAACACACCTGACCTGGAAGAGTAGGGCACCAGTGCCTGAGTTTGTGGAAGGAACAGGAGGCCACGCCTTCTTCAAACCATTCCCAGGTTCAGGATACAGAAAGATACAGAGAATTTAGGTAAATATTTGAAAGTTATGAATCTAGCTGGCAAAGTACTGATAGACATACTCTCTCCTCCCATCCTGAGAAAGGCAGAAGAAAGATCTTCCAATAGTGGTTTCTGCTCACTTTCCAGTTACTTTCGGTGGTCTCCAGTTGCCAAGTCCTGGTCCTGTACACAGACCTTCACTTGGCCATTTTAGTGCCTTGTTCTTTTTCATTTAATTAGTTTTAAATTTTATTTGTTCTTATTCTATGTGCATGAGTGTTTTATCTGTGTAACAGGTTCAGAGAGGGCTTCATATGGAGTGGGAAGAATGAGAGCACCAAGGTGCAGCACTATTGCCTACAGCTCTGCCAACAACCATGGGTCCCGCATGGCTGCCTTTCTGCTGGGTTCTGGAAAGACAAGGGAAGGGTGAGGTAGGAGACTGCCATTTTCCAATCAGTTTTCCTTTTCAGTAAATGAATTTCCATCTCATCAGCCACATAATACAGTTATTCATAACATGCTTCTCTTTCTTCACCCTTTGCTAAGGCATCTGGAAAGAAACCAAAGAATGCAGTACTGTTTTCTAAGAAGCCATGAGCGAACAGCGTTAGTGACTCTGAGATGTGAATTGCGTAATGATAACAAGTTTTCTGTTTTATAATCCTATAGGATGTAGTTCAGAAACACCAGAGGATATTTAAGGATACTTGAGATTTCTTTCAGTATATACATAAAATGGATCATATGGTCAGTAACTGTCTCTTAACATAGAAGTTCGTGTATAGCCAGATAAAACTGATCCATGCTAGGTTTTGTTGTCATGGAAGATGCCTTGGTAACACTGGAAAACAAATCATAGCAGACTCATGTTCTAACAGGAATCCTGGTGACCCAAACCCAGGTATGGGATACCATGTAAGAAAGCAGCTGGTCTCTGCATTTGGAAAGAATAACAGAATGCTTGGCCTGTAATGCTGAGTTCCCATGTGTCCTCCAACTAATCATATTGAGGTATCTAACTTACATGACTTCCTTAGGTTCTTCTTTTTCTGATACCTTTCCACCAATAGCATCTACAGATAGAGCAAAGGAGAGGAGTGGTGTATTTTAAAACTCCTCTCACCAAGACTCAATCTCCTCTTACACTCACCTTGGTGGGGATTTAAGTGTACTGATGATAGGAAGGGAGAAATACATTGTTATTTGTTACTGTTTTGGAACTGTATTTCCCTTTATAATAAGACTAAAGCGTTACATCTCTATTTGGGATCTACCCCTCCCCAACTTTGTGAAGATATAATTGACAAATAAAAATTGTATACATTTACAAAGCACAGAATGATGTTTTGATCTGTGTGAACTCATTCAGTAAGCTGTTAGCATTTTCATCACCAAATGTTTTTAAAAGAGAATTGTGGTAAGAACAGTTAAGATTTACTCTGCTATGTATGATACATGGCTATTAGTTCTAATTACTGTGCTGTGCAAAAACATTCTCTAGAGTTGAACAAAACTCTCTAGAACTGAAAAGAAGTGCTTTTGAAATAATTTACTTATTTTTATTTCATGCTCATTCATGTTTTGCCAGCATGTATGTCTGAGCGAAGGTGTTCGAGTCCCTGAAACTAGAGTTACAGTTAGTTATAAGTTGCCATGTGGTTGCCAGGAATTGAACCAGGTTCCTGTGGAAGAGCAGTCAGTCCTCTTAACTGCTGAGCCATTTCTTCAGCCCCAGAAAAGAAATGTTTTTAATCTGCTTGTTCAATTTGGACAGCATACTGTCAGCAGTCAAGGTAAGGGCAGTTTCTTGCCCAAGTCGCTAGCTTTTGCCACAAAGAAAGCAAACGCCATATGGAGTTTCTTTGAATTCCATCATCCTTTTATGAAATAGATTAGTGCTGCCAAGAGCAGGTGTGTCTCACTGTCATGAAAATCCTTGTTATTAAAACATTTAAAATACCATATTCTGTAGGTTTCTGAAGTATTTGAAGGCCATCTATTTAAAATATGTCTTTGATTGACCTTGAAAACATACCTAACATGACTTTAAGTTTGATTGTTATAGATGACTAAGTATTAACCTGTATTTCCTTATTATCCTAAATAGCTTTCAAGGACTAGAACTTAATATTTTTAAATGAGCTGCATAAGTACAATACCTTAAGCAAGAAATAGAAACATATAGTAAGACAAAATAACCTGAAATTTGTATCAATACACAAAAATATCTTACACAAGAGTAGAAACATATATACAATATAATAAAAATAACTTTAAATTTATATCAATATACAAAAACATCTTACACAAGAATAGAAACATATATACAGTATAACAAAATAATCTTCAATTTGTATCAATATACAAAAATTCATAGAACGTAAAGTATTTAAGACCAGTAGTTGATTCTTTTAGTTTAAAAGCAGATTCAATAATCTATCCTTTTATCCTACCATTTCTTTTTTTATTTTAAAGATTTTATTTATTTATTATGTATACAACATCCTGCTTCCATGTATATATCTGCACATCAGAAGAGGGCACCAGATCTCATAGCGGATGGTTGTGAGCCAGCATGTGGTTGCTGGGAATTGAACTCAGGACCTCTGGAAGAGCAGTCAGTGCTCTTAACCTCTAAGCTATCTCTCCAGCCCTTATCCTACCATTTCTATACTCCCTTTTTTCTTTTCAGAAAGAGATCCCTGAATGCAATCTCATTTGTTTAGCTTTTTTCCTGACCATGACCAACAATAACTTGTAACCAAACCCCTTAAACAAAAACAAACATCTATAACCTACCAAATGACCAAAACCACCAACCTCATCTCTTAAGAATGTGGGCATTGTGTTCTCTAGACTGCTTTCTGTTGCCAGGGGCACTGGCATCTTTGGGTGACCTTGAGAAAATTAGGATAATGATTAGGTCTTGGCTAGAATAGTCTATGAGACTGGACCATCTCAGCTAGCAGCTTTGAAGTTGTTCTGGATGCAGAATTTTGAGGAAACTGCAACAGAGGCATCTGAGTCTGGATCACCTAGGCTACTTGTTTTCATTGGTGTCTAGTCCTTGTGTTCTGAAAATATATAAACTTTTGAATGTAACATATATATCTGCATTAACACAAGTATGGAATGTGAGGTGTGTACATGTCAGTCAAAGATGATTTTTTTTGTTTTATGATTAAGCAGGTAAAAGACATCTGTCAACTTTATAAGTTTGTTTGAACTGTATAAGTAAACCTCTATACATGCCATATGAAAAAATGGCATGTAATAATAAGTCATGAGGAGTTTGTAGCCAACAAGATTTATCATCCATCTCTGAACTGTTCCCATACACAGGGATCAGCTTACATGTCAGCTGTCCTGTAGTCTTTCTTGGCTTCCTCCTTCATGTCTGTACCCAATATACTCAGGAAGTCTCTCTCTCTCCCCCCAAGTCTAATTGGATCTCTACTAACCTGGAAGAAATCCATAGCCGTTTGTTTCCTGTGTAAATAAGAACATAAACTCTTCCCCAACATAATATATTTTCTGACTTCCATTTTAACATTAATGTATCTTTAAAATATATAGGTTGGTTTAATTTAGTAGTTTTTATAATCCAATGTCTCTCAGTAGCTATTGTCCGTTCATTAGCAGTCAAAAAATTCAAAATTAACAAAGTACCACATAAGCTCCAAACTTCCTGTGTAACAACATTTCCCTTCCTTGACATGGCTTGTTTTTTATTGCTTTACTTCTCTCTTTAAACTATTTTTATGACTCTATATCCTTTTGTCCCCCTTAAACCTATGCACATTGTTAAACACGGTGTAACCTGTTTAGAGGTTGTTGGGTTTTATTGTTTTTTCAGTCTGAACCTGCTTTACTACTTATCTGTAACCTTTTCTGTCTGCATTAGCAAAATCTTAAACTGCCTCACAGCTTACCTCATGACACACTGGCTGTTCAAACCTGCAGACAGAGGGTGGGAGACACATCACTGTACTGCAGCCCGTATGAGAGACTGTGGGACTAGGAAGCCATATTTGGCTCTGTTTTTTTGTTTTTGTTTTTGTTTTTGTTTTTGTTTTTGTTTTTGTTTTTGTTTTTGTTTTTGTTTTTGTTTTTGTTTTTGTTTTTGTTTTTGTTTTTGTTTTTGTTGTACGTTTGGAAACTTTAAAAAAAGCTTTCTCAGACCTTATGTGGAAATACATATCCCCATATTGTTAGATACATTTCTCATCAGGACCATTGACTCCTGGCACTGGAGATTTATTATTAATTATGAAAGCTCAGCCGATAGCTTTTGCATGTCTCTAACTAGCTTTTATAACTTAAATTAACCCATTTCTATTTGTTTACTTTCTGCATTGTGACTTTATTACCTCCTCTCCATCGTTGCCATCCTGCTTGCTCTGTGTCCCTGGTGTATCTACCCTTCCTCTTCTCAGTGCCCTCTGTGCCTGGAACTCATGCCTAGCTATTGGTCATTCAGATTTTTATTAAACCAACCTGAGTGACACATCTTCACAGTGTACAAAAAAATTACTCCATAGCAAGTAAGATTTACCAACAGAGTCTTGAGTATGAATGTTTCCTTTCTGTGCAGATTATTTTTTTAGCAAGATATCTGTGTAATGAATTTCCGATGTTTGGTATGTTCTTAAAGGAGGCCTGTGCAACAGGACAGTGATTTGGTGTATGTGTTTGTGTACATTGTGTAAAGTACAGTCCCTTGTTCCAGGAAATGTCTTCTTAACAACCAGACGTAGAGGAGAGCACACATGGCTATGCCTCCTCAGTACAAGGGGCTTCCATTTGTGAATCAGATAAAAATAGTCGTGATGAGATGTTTCAGCTGGTGAAAACAGCCACCATGAAGCCTGAACCTAAGTTCAGACCCAGGGTCCAAGTGGTGGAAGGGGACAATTGACTTCACAAACTTGTCCTCCAACTGCCACATGTTCACTGTGGCACATGAACCCACCCCTAGATAGATAGATAGATGATAGATAGATAGATAGATAGATATAGATAAATAGATAGATGACAGATGTTTTAAGAAGTCTGTTCCATCATAAAGCATTGGATGGAGCAGATACATCCTCAGTTCTGAGGTTCTTTTAAGCTAGGAGACCCCTTGATATTTTCTATCAAGAGAGAATGTATATATGTATATATATATATGAATAAATATGAATGGAAAGTGATAAACAGTCTTCTTAACCAGATCTGGGATCTTTCAGTGTGGACTATTCCCCAACCAAAGAGAAATAAAAATGCCCCTGTCTAATGCTCAGTAAATGTTACTGGCTCCTATCTAGTCTCTAGCACTGTGTTAAGCATTTTGTTTTTGTTTTTATTTTAGACGAGGCTTTGTGCTAGACCCCATAGAATGCTTTTGTAATTGTGTGTCAGAATTCCTTGTGCTTTTCACAGGAAGCTGGAACTGAATCATCTGCAGAACTTTTATATAACCTGGTCTACCATCTTTAGTTCAAGATTAAACAAATACCATATGCTCTCGTGGCCTACATCATATGAGATGTGCAAAGCTATAACTGAAATACTCCCTAAGTGGGTCGCTACAGCTAGGGATTCTTGCCCGAAAGAATACAAGGTGAAGCCAAAAAGAGTTTAAAACACACTCTTCTCTTTCCCCCAGAATTTGCCTTGAGTTGTCCATTTCCTGTCAGAGCTTACTGTTTCAGAGGCTGGACGCCTGCCATGTGTTATGCACTCTGTTACCCATTCATGCAATTGTCTAACCTATATTCTATAAGGACCTGAAAACCAAGAGCTAAGTTTTATTCTTCCTTTTGGCCTCGATATCCCCTTTGAACTTAATACAGCTTTTCTCTGGATTAGGGGAGGAAAACCATAGGACACAGAAGAGGCTGATTTGGAGCAGAGAGAGCATCCAGATGTGGGGGTGACAGATGGAATCGGCAGGGAAGGATTTGTTCTCGGGATCCTTAAGGTAAGGACTTACAAGGGTGCCTCAGCTTAGTGTGCTGCACTCACTTTCTCGTGTTTCGCAGATCCCTCACCCCCAGCACCTCAGGTTGAAGGTCTGTGACAATCCTGTGTGGAGGAAGCACATCAGCTTTCTTTTTGACTCTGGGTCACATTTTGGTAATTCTCACAGTATTTCAAACTCTTTCATCATTATTGTATCTGGTATGATGATCCTTGAGGTCAACATCAGAGTGGTTTGGGGATGACATGAACCTTGCTCATACTGGTCAATGGAAGCAATAAACATTGTGTTCAGAGTGTTCCAAAGATCAGCTGTTCCCCAAATTCTCCTCTATTCCAGCCTCCCTGGTCCCCGAAACACAACAACACTGAAATCACACCAGTTAATGGCCCTCCATTGCCTTACATACACAGTATATGTTCTAGGGAAAGGAAGAGGCACACATCTCTCACTTTAACTTAAAACCTAGAAATTGTTAAGCTGAGGGGAGGGTAGCATTTAGAAAAGCCAGGAGAGGCTGGAGGCTAGACCTCTTAAATCAAACAGCTAAGTAATGGATATAATGGAAATGATCACCCAAATGCTATAAAAGTGAAATGACTTATTGATGATATAAAGATTGAATGGTCCAGGTAGACCAAAGCAGTCCAATATTCCCCTGGCCAATGTCTATCTCCAGCAAAACTCCTTCTCTTCAGTTCTACAAAGGCAGAAGGAGGAGATGTAGCTGTGGAAGAAAAGTGTGAGGTTACTAGGGGTTGGTTTGTTTCGGGCCAGAGATATGGTTGGTTTCACAGCAAGAACGTATGCTTAAGTTGGTTCCCAGCACCCACACCAGACGCCCAACAGCTGCCTGTAACTCCAGCTCCAGATGGAGATGTATACAGAGTCTCATGAGGTTTTCCTGTCTGCTAACACAACAGCTATTCTGTAGTCATAAATCAAGGAATAATTTTGACTTCAAGTCTTACTATTTAAGAGACATATTTCACCTGGAATATATAGACAGTAATTTCTCTGATGGAGCTGGGCAATAGCAATTGAAAATTTGCATGCTTATTTATTCATGTAAAATTTATACAACAATAAGAGTAAAAGGGTTGCTATATTTTGCTACTCTTGGTGGTACACAAATATGAAAACAAAGGGCTACGTGTCTGATACTGAGTGCACATTCCTCTTAAGAAGTAATAGAAATGCCATGGGTATGTCACTTGAATTTACTCATGAAGGGAGAATGTATGTCCATGTACACTGTGTTTTCTAATATTTGTAGTCAAAACCAATGAGTAGTGTAACAGACACAAACTATACTTCTTATCAATTTTTTTTTTGGTTTTTTTTTTTTTTTTCGAGACAGGGTTTCTCTGTGGCTTTGGAGGCTGTCCTGGAACTAGCTCTTGTAGACCAGGCTGTTCTCGAACTCACAGAGACCCGACTGCCTCTGCCTCCCGAGTGCTGGGATTAAAGGCGTGAGCCACCACCGCCCGGCTACTTCTTATCAATTTTGATGACTTGTTCAGGGTCAACAGAAGGAATCAGCAAGTTTTGAGGTCTAAAATAAAAAGCCAAAAAAAAGGAAAAAGAATTAATATTAAGGTGAATCTTATTCCATTAACACAAGGAAAATCGTCACAGATGTGTGTGAGGTAGTCAGGATTTCATGGGAGGAAGTCACTAAAGATGCAGCAGGAACAGCAGCAGAAGTAAAGGGCCTAGGCTGTATTGCTGCAATCTCATGATGAAACCTTAGTGGATGAGTTGTTTCTTATGAACGAAAAAAGAAAATAATCTGATCCTTACCTCAAGAAGTTTAATCCTGGTGAAGATGTGGAGAACTTGTTGAAATGACATCAGATTTGAATATTACATAATCTCAGTTGGTAAATCAGTGATAGATAGGGTTTGACAATACTGGCTTTTATTTTGAAAATATTATATCTATATATCTTATCCTATCATCCATCCATCTACCTATCTATCCATCCATCCATCCATCCATCCATCCATCCATCCATCTGTCTACATCTGGGTGTGGTAGTACTCTCCCATAATTCTAGCACTTGAAGGATTGACAGGACAACCAAGCATTCAAAGTTGTCCTTAGCTATTACTCAGTTCAAGATCAGCCTTGGTTATTTGAAAACTTGTGTCAAAAAACAAACAAATCCTATCAAACAAACTCACAGGCTACAGAGACATACTTTGTGAAGGGAAGACATAATATTGAGCAGACTTTACTTATGTCTTTCTTATTTGAAGAAATTGCTGTATCCACCCAACTTTCAGCAACCAAGACAACCAGTCAGCAGCCTTCAACATCCAGGCAAAACCTATGAGCAAAAAGATGACTGAAGACTCCAACAGTGATCAGCAACTTTCAACATTGAACTACTTTAAAATTGAGGCATTATAGTAATTACTTGATTCTCTGTGAAAAAATACCTGGCCAATGCAACTTAAGTGGGGGAGGTTTGTTTTGTCTCACAGCTAGAGGGCACAGTCCATAATGTCAGAGACGGTGGCAGGATGGCAGCAGGAGAAGAAGATGCAGGTCATATTGCAGTCACATCCAGGAAGCAGAGAGAGAGAGAGATGATGATGACCGTGCTTTGCTCACATTCTCCTGTTTTATTTTGTTTTGTTTTAATTTACTCCAGGATCCCAACACAGGGAATAGAACAGACCACATTTAGGGTAGTCTTTCCAACTCAGCCAGCCTAATCTGGAGAACACCTCATGGGCATGTCTGGTGTTCATTTTAAATCCCATCAATCAAGATTAACCATTACTGTTTTGTCTATTTCTTATTTCAGACACAATGAACTGACACACTTGTGTAAACATGACTCTTACTTGCACTTAGAAACAAAAGAGAGTTTCAGAACTTGCATTAGGCAATATTAACATGAATAATTTTAATGAGGTGGTTTGAAACCAAACCTGCAATATCTGATGTATTCTTCCATTAAATAACAACTGATAAATATTTTTTAAAGTACAAAGATGTCTAAGTTTTCTCCACTGTCTTGAATTTTCTCAAGGGGTAAAATGATGACAATGGCATCACGAGATTATTTTGAGGGTGAAATGGAAAGACCCATATACATCACACAACACTGGAAGTGACAAGGGAGAGTGCAGATTTCCATAACTGCTGTCACCAAAGTTATATTCATTGATAAACATCTAGAATTTTTCTGTAGAGTTTTAAATTCATAAATTCTATTCCAATGCAATATATGAAAAGACAAGTACAGGCAAATCATTTCAAGCAGCTTTGAAAAATTTTCATTTTCAGAGTTGGTCTTTTTTTGAGTTTAAGTCTTTTAGAACATATTTGCCTCAGAGACATTGGTTTTGGGGAATTTTCTTTTCTTCTTGCAATGTTGCTGTTACATCAGGAATGTTGGAAAGAAGCGATGAGCATATCTGAAATGTGCCCCTCTGCTGAACTCAAAGTTTCTTTCAGTTCACAGACACCTACTCTCCTTGTGCTTGCTCTGTCTTACCAGAAAGTGCCAATGGAAGGTTGCCAAGCAACCACATTTGTATTCTTTCCTCAAGTCCTGCTATTTGCATTCTTAATTTTTTTAAAAATTATAATATAATTACATCATTTCCACCTTCCCTTTCCTCCCTTCAAATCCTCCGTCCATGTAGCCCCATCTTGCTCGCTTTCAAATTCGTGGCCTCTTTCCTTAATAAGTGCTGTGTGTGTGTGTGTGTGTGTGTGTGTGTGTGTGTGTGTGTGCGTGTGCGTGTGCGTGTGCGTGTGTGTGTGTGTGTGTGTGTGTGTGTGTGTGTGACAGTGTGATCATTCTTGGCTCCTCTCTGTCACTTACATCCTGTATCCCACCCATCAAGATTCAAATTGTTCATACTATTCTGGCCTGCAGCCTCATCATCCCTCACCTATAATTACCCTTTAACAGGTTTTTCTGCTTTTGTCTTGGCCATACAACAATTCTATTCTCAGAACTGGCCAGAATAAATCTCAGAACAGTTAGATAATGGCTCTCCTCTACTTAAACTTCCACTTCCTGTTTCTCTCAGAGTAAAAAGCCAACCATGCTCATGGCCCCCAGGCCCTGTGAAATCAGTGCTCCCTGCTTCACCTCTCTTCTTCTTTTCCTCAGGTCTCATACCCTTTGCTACACACATGCTGGCCTCTTGGACATTTCTCAATCTTGTAAAGCATATTTCCCCCAGAGGGTCTTTGCTCTAGTTCTTTTCTCCCTGTAACATCTTTCTTCCAGCACCTGTAGAATTAACTCCTGCCCTAGTTTGCTTCTTGTTGCTGTGATAAACACCATGGACATAGCCAACTTGGGGAGGGAAGGGTTTGATTCATTTTATAGGTTACAGTTGCTTGCTAAGGGAAGTCAAGGCAGGAATTCAATGCAGGAGCTTGAAGCAGAAACCATAGAGAGCATGCTGACTGAAGGGCTTTTGAGCTCTTGTTCAGCCTCGACTCTTATTGCCCAGACCCACTTGCCTAGGGATGGCACTGTCCACAGTGTGCTGGGCCATCTAACATTAATTAGCAATTAAGTAAATGCCTTACAGATACCAGCCATCTGATCTAGGCAATTCTTTAGTTGAGAGTCCTAGGTGACTCTAGGTTTGTGTCAAGTTGACAGTTGAAGCTGTGATATTCTACTTTTTGTCAATTTTAACATGCAAACACAGCACTTGAGACCATAACTTTACCTTTCTTGTTTGTCTACAAGATGTCATATTAATAATACAATATAAAACATAGTCCAGCTTTCAAAGCCCTATAGTCTTTTAAAAGTTCAATACTTCAAAAGTTCAAGGTCCCTTTAAAAAATCAAAGTCTCTGGGCTGGTGAAACCCACAGAAACAGCTGACCTGAACAAGGGGAAATGCATGGATACCAGACTGATGTCTGGGAGGCCAGCATGGGACTGATCCAGACTCCTGAATGTGGATGTCAGTGAGGAGGCCTTGGCACTCTATGGGGCCTCTGGTAGTGGATCAGTATTTATCCCTGGCATAAGAAAGGACTTTGAGAGCTCATCCCACATGGAGGGATGCTCTCTCAGCCTGGACACATGGAGGAGGGCCGAGGCCATGCCCAAGATGATATGACAGACTTTGGGGATCACCCATGGAGGGCCTCACCCTCCCTAAAAAATTCAAAGTCTCTTAATCAGGTTCCTATAAAATCCAAAACAAGTTACAAACATTTTGGGGAGAAAAGGGGCATAGTTCATTTTACAGGTTAGAATCCATCATCAAGGGAAGCCAAGGCAGACACGCAAGGCCGTGACTTGAAAGAAGAAACCATGAGGAATGCTGCTTACTGGCTAGCCACCCAGATTATTCAACTCCCCTTCTCATATATCCCATGACCAACTGCCTAGAGATGGTGCTGCCCACAGTAGGATGGACCCACCTACATCAATTAGCAATTAAGAAACTGCCTCACAGACCATATGACTACAGGTCAAGCTGATCTAGAAAATTCCTCAGCTGAGGTTCCCTCTTCTTGGGTTACTCTTAATTTGTGTCAAGTTGACAGTTGAAGGTAACTATGACAACTCCCCTACTTTCTTCTAAAATGTGCTTCTATCTCATGTCATTCCAAAACATACCTAAGCTGTCTTCAGACTGGGGGCTAGGGAGATTGCTCCATGGGTAAAGTGCTTGCCTATGCAACCATGAGGACCTAGGTTCAGATACTCAGCATCCATGCAAAAGCCAGGGGCCATAGCTTACACATGTAGCTGTAGAATGGTGGAAATAGGCAGATCTCTGCAGTTCCTGGGGTGAGTATGAGAATGGTCCACACAGAGGAGGTGAGAAGGATTGAATGTGTTTGGGGTCTCAGTTGAACTTTCACAGATAAAGTGAAGCAGATGAAAGACCTATGCAATGCTATGAAATTATAGATGAAAATAATCCCCCCCCCCCGTCAGTTTTGGGGTCTCTTATAAGAACACTTACCATTCACAAGGACCCGGCCTTTATGATATAATTACCTCCCTACCTTTTAATGCTATCATATCGGGGGTAGGAAGGACTTCTGCATGTGATTTTGGTAGCAGGATGCATTCAGTCTATTACACTTGGGTCTTTTTCCAGGTGGTTATTTAGCGTGAATACTTCTCATTGATATTAATTCAGACTTTGGGAGTCAAACTCAATGAAAATAAGCTTTGCAGAATGTGTCTTCGAAGTACAATATTAACGCCCTTCTGTATGAGTGTACCACATTACTACTATAGGAAAATGGAATTTCAGCTTGACCAGCACGATGCCACATGTTTGTTTAGGGTGGTGGCTGGTAATGAAATGCTATGTCCTACCAAAATACAAGTTGCAGGAGGCTGGAGAATTGGCTTAACAGTTAAAATACAGATTATGAAAATTTACATTGGGTGTCATTAAAGGGGAGTTCTATGGCACAATTTTCTGACTGAAGGTGTTCTCTAAGCATAGAAAAGGGGTGTATTTAGCCTTTACTATTTGGCACCTGGGATAAGGCAAACCCTTTCTTATATCAGCCTTTTAGTTTATAATGTATAATTTACCTGTTTTTGACAATATGTACTATCTGTTAGTTTCATTGTAAATAATTATTCCTTCTAGTTAAACACCAGGCCCAGTTGTTTTTAGTTGTTGAAGGATTGCATATACTATCCACATGCTAATATGACATATTCTAGAATTGTATATGCTTGAAAATTTTGCCCATGACACTTAAGCTTCAGTGGACCAGTGCAAAACCATTCTTTCCTCTAAATTTTGACTCTGGGAGTTTTTCTCATATTATTGTAAGACCCCCGAAAAGCTCAGGCTTTCAGGATCTTAGCCCAGGACCGTGGCCACCCCAATCACCAGACTGAGTAGAAAGCTTGATGAAAACTGCATGAGGCTTTATTGTTGTTTAACGAGCTAACCCCATGTCAGCTTGGGTCTTTCGTCCATCCACCATGGCAGATGGCTACAAAAGACAGTTTCGAAGTTGCTGCATACAGATCTTATAGGGCAGCATAAGGGGAGTGTCTAGGGATATACACAGGCTCAGGATTGGTGTGCCTCCAGGCTTGGAGGGTTTGCCCTGTGTTGATTGGTCAACTGGTTGTTATGCCCATAGGCCCTCCCAGGGTGGTTGCTATGCCCTGCACGTCATTGCTGTGCACTTGTCCGTAAAGCACACCCAGAGCCGTAAAGCATACCACCACCAGCTAACTTCTGATTGGTTCCTTGCCATGAGGCAGGCACCTAACCTCTAGTGACCTAGGCAAGGTCAGAAAAACACATGTCCAGCTGTTATGGCTGCTGAAATGGGGAGCTGATTCCTTCATTATCACTGAAATTTAGTCCCTTGCTGGCACATAATAATCCATTCATATTATTTAAATGACTAGATCAAATAAATTTGGTTCAGAAGAAATGTTTAGGCATGTGCTTCCAGGACTTAGATTAGGTATCTGTGATATAGGATTCATCATATATTGGTCTTTATGGGAATATACATTATACAAGTTCTGTGGCACACTTCAGTTGTCAGCAAACAAATTTTTTTTTAGAGTTATTTGTTTTTGGGGCTGTGTGTAAGCACATATTTGTGCCATAGCATGAATGTGGAGATTGAAGGACAACTTGGGGAAGTTGACTTGGCTTCTGGAGAATCAAATTCAGGCAGTCAGGTTTCCTGGAAAATGTCTTTACCTACTGAGCCATCTTGCTGCCCCAGTAAGCTATTTTTTTTTTTTTTGGTTTTTTTGAGACAGGGTTTCTCTGTGTAGCTTTGGAGCCTATCCTGGCACTCTCTCTGGAGACCAGGCTGGCCTAGAACTCACAGAGATCTGCCTGCCTCTGCCTCCTGAGTGCTGGGATTAAAGGTGTGCACCACCAACACCTGACGAATAAGCATTTTTTAAGAACAGTTTTAAACTTTCTGAGCAAATGAGCAGGTACTATTGAGATTCATATGTCCCCTCTCTGCCCCACAGTTTCCCTATTAATAACAGACTTCATTAATAATAAATGCCTTTATTCCCAGCACTTGGGTGTTGGGACCCTGCTGGCTGACCTAAGGTGCTCTTGGTGTTCTCTGTCCCCCTGGATTAGGCGTTCACTTCCCTCTTTCCGCCAAGGCCTGTATGCAAGTATGCAAACTATCTGCCCATTGCCAGGGGCCAGGCCTGGGAAACATGGACCTTGGTCTGAGTAAATTTCCACTGTGACTGCTGTTGATATATAAGTCTTCTCCCCTTTGAAAATAAATGGCATTCTCCTTGCAAGAATAACCTGTTGTCTTGTCTTTATTTAACCCTCAGATTCTCTCACCAGAGCCCATGAAATGTTGTAGCGCTAGCTGCTGTTACACTTGGGAGATAGAGGCAGGAAGATCTTTCTGAATTTGAGGCTAGACTGGTCCACAAAGTGAGTTCTAGGACAGCCAGAGCTTTTACACAGAGAAACCCTGTCTCAAAAAAAAAGCTTCCAGTTTTTGAGATAAATAAATACTTGTCATAATGAACCAGTTTGGATTACATGAGAATTATTGCCTAAAGTCTGTAGTTCCTGCAAAGTTCTGGGGTTTGCTTAATATTGCTTACTGGGCCAGGATCCCATCCTGCTAAGTTTCATTGTTTTGACTCTTTAGGCTCTATTGGCTGTGACAGTTTCTCAGACTTTTCTCCTTCGATGGACCTGAGAGTTTAAAGAAGACTGTCATTGTGGAAGGCCT